TCCGAAAGAAAAATAAAACATTTTCATTGGCCGTTGGTAATAGTACGGATGGGCGGCACCGTCCTCTAATGTCTATCTTCTAGTGCTCGTTTTCCGACATCCATCTGATCCGTTTTCTTTCTTCTCGTTCTCCATTTTCTGTAGGCTCGGCAGACAGCACTCTGAAAGGACGAAGAGGATTATACGTAGAGACATCCGCAATAGGAAATACCACATCCATCCCGGGAATATATGAAATGGAAGATGGGGAAGGACCTACCTATGACCTACATTACCTAAACATGGAATGATTTAACCCGTGAATATAATAAAATATATACACCCAGACGCTATAACGATTAAACCACCATCCCCTTAAAGACCTCCTACCTTCCCTTAAAGACCACCTACCTTCCCTTAAAGACCTCCTACCTTCCCTTAAAGGCCTCCTACCTTCCCTTAAAGACCTCCTACCTTCCCTTAAAGGCCTCCTACCTTCCCTTAAAGACCTCCTACCTGTGTGCTGGGAACAGTTGAAAATCTATTCACTCGCGACACCAGAGGGCCTCGAACACCCAAACACAATAGTAGCACTCGGTAGCCTTTAGCCCACTGAGCCATAAGCACACACATTAATACTCCCCCCCTTACTCCCTTAAAGTACGCAGCCTGCTACAGGCGTTACCAATATGTATTACGCACCTTAAAAAACGCAGCCTTCTACAGGCGTTACCAATATGTTACATACACCTTAGAGAGCGCAGCCTGCTACAGGCGTTACCAATATGTTACATACACCTTAGATAACGCAGCCTGCTACAGGCGTTACCAATATGTTACATACACCTTAGAGAACGCAGCCTGCTACAGGCGTTACCAATATGTTACATACACCTTAGAGAACGCAGCCTGCTACAGGCGTTACCAATATGTTACATACACCTTAGAGAACGCAGCCTGCTACAGGCGTTACCAATATGTTACATACACCTTAGAGAACGCAGCCTGCTACAGGCGTTACCAATATGTTACATACACCTTAGAGAACGCAGCCTGCTACAGGCGTTACCAACATGTATCATACACCACCTACCTTCCCTTAAAGACCTCCTACCTTCCCTTAAAAACCTACCTTCCTTCCCTTAAAGACCTCCTACCTTCCCTTAAAGACCACCTACCTTCCCTTAAAGACCTCCTACCTTCCCTTAAAGACCTCCTACCTGTGTGCTGGGAACAGTTGAAAATCTATTCACTCGCGACACCAGAGGGCCTCGAACACCCAAACACAATAGTAGCACTCGGTAGCCTTTAGCCCACTGAGCCATAAGCACACACATTAATACTCCCCCCCTTACTCCCTTAAAGTACGCAGCCTGCTACAGGCGTTACCAATATGTATCAAACACCTTAAAGAACGCAGCCTGCTACAGGCGTTACCAATAAATACATACGAGAGACCGCAGCCTGCTACAGGCGTTACCAATAAATACATACGAGAGAACGCAGCCTGCTACAGGCGTTACCAATAAACAATAAAAACGAGAGAACGCAGCCTGCTATAGGCGTTACCAATACGCATAACACATTCTCGAGAATGCTGCCTGCTACAGGCGTTACAAATGGAGGCCTAATACCCCTAATACATCCAACATGTCAGGGATATAAAGGAGCATGGATGGAGGAGGAGGAGAGAGGTGTGGCGGCAAGCTTCAGCATAGCGAAGATATCAGATCCCCAAAAGGAGTCCTAGTTTCAGCAACCCCTTCTACCGCCTAGATTGTGGCACCCTTAGGCGTACGAGGTGAACCCCACATGTGCTGGCACTACTCGCAAGCACCTTGTGCGAGACGAGCGGAGACGCTCCTCAACCCTGGCAGATATCCATCAAGCTTCCAGAGGGACGAGGCTCCCTTAGGCGCGCCAAAGGCACCACTACCCGCACACACGCATTGCGAGACGAACGTAATGTCCCTCACGAGGAGCGGGCGGAGACGCTCCTCGACCGTGTCAGATATCCGTCAAGCTGCGCAGAGCCAAGGTTCCCTTTGCCGCACGGGACTTAACCCGCCTGTATTGCCACGTCCTACACCCACGCATGGTGAGGTGCAGGCGGAGACACACCACACCCTGGGCAAGTGTCCATGAGCCGCCAAGGTCAGCCCATCCCCAGGTGAACCCTTCAACCAACGCCCGCATCTGCGCTGCCCATCAAGCCACGGAGTAGTAGTAGTAGTAGTAGTAGTAGAAGTAGTAGTAGTAGTAGTAGTAGTAGTAGTAGTAGGAGGAGGAGGAGGAGGAGGAGAAAAGGATGGACACAGTACGCCAATACAGAATTACTCACCTAATAAATCCTGGGCGAGACCGTAGCAGCAACTGTAAAACAAGAAAAAAAGGATGGCGTTAAATATTGGCACCCTAGGAGTATGATATTCAACCTACCCCATGAATACTGAAAATAATGAATGCAAAAGGAGAGACATCCTTCAGAACGAAAGCTGACAAGTAACAGAAATGGAAAGCCCTTTTCAAGATTCAAGAGACAGCAATCAGTTTGTTTATTTGGGGGTAATATAGAAAACTATAAAAAGTAAATGAAAACACACAAAGAAAAAAAATGACAGTTTTTATTTATTTCATATTCGATATTACTAAATCAACACGAAGTATCAGTTTGATTATAGAGAACTTGAATGAACAATGTTGCCAATGTAACCTCAATCATTCGACCGAATTAAATTTTTTGAAATAACCGGGTTATAAGGCGCCTTGCTTATCTTCCAGTAATTTATATAATATGCATACCGAAATCTGAACAATGTTTTGGTTCTGTAAACAAATGCACAGCTGCCTGCACTTCTCCCTAGTACACCCCATTTCCGGTAAAGAGTAGTAATTTGCATTGTTTAAATAACGGTCCTAACCTACGGCTTGAATGGTCTGTAACAAACCTCAGACACATTAGTTCAACGAATAGGGATTCCCCTTTTATTCACGAATGCTGTAACAATGTCTATGTCAAGAAATAGCACTGAGTTACATAAGCAATAATCTAATAATAATCTAATGCTTTGGCGGGTTATACTTTATGGGCAGTTGGAGATTGTTCCTGAGGCTAACAGGATACGGCCGGTGAGGACTGGTGTTTGAAATTTCAGTAAACGTCATTATATACTTTGAAATGAGTTACAAAAAGGTTGGCGTAGAACAATGGCAATGCATTACTGAATTGATGGTTTTCGAGGTGATTGTTGGATGGCTGTACGATCAAGTGTATATATCACTTACGATAATTATGCTATATGAGCTTTTGAAGTGACAATTTTTTTTTTACTCATCATGTATGTGGTTTCACTCCAATGCATTAGAAATGGGGAAAATGCTGCTGGGAATACACGTGTAGTTTAACAGCGATAGCTTGCGTTTTTAAACTATTACCAAACAAGGATTTATCAATTTACAACTCACGACAATAAACTTGGGAGGTAGAGAAATATATACATACATTTTCATGCCATCCTTTCCCATGCTTATTTCAGTCTTCTTAACCTTTTCATTTTGTTCCACAACTTTACTTTAACCTTCAATTTCTTCAAATATTAATATGTAATCAGTAAATGGGTAGCACGCATAATTCCGAAACCTGCACGCTGAACGAACACAAGAGAGAATGAAAATCAAGCCTTTAATTTTAATCTTACACGCAACCTACTTTTACTTTAATAACAAGAAAGAATGGCGAAAATAATAAATTGAAAAACCTGGAAAAGAAGACTCAATGAAAAACTTTAAATAAATGCGTCTACACTAGCAACGTGGGTACGCGATGTTAGAGACAGGTATCACGAAATGCTGAGTAGATTGAGACGAGCGTGTGTGTGTGTGTGGGAGCGTGCGTGTGTGTGTGTGTGTGTGGGAGCGTGCGTGTGTGTGTGTGGGAGCGTGCGTGTGTGTGTGTGGGAGCGTGCGTGCGTGTGTGTGTGTGGGAGCGTGCGTGCGTGTGTGTGTGTGGGTGCGTGTGTGTGTGTGGGTGCGTGCGTGTGTGTGTGTCTGTGTGTGTGTGTCTGTGTGTGTGAGCGTGCGTGTGTGGGTGTGGGTGCGTGCGTGTGTGTGTGTGTGGGAGCGTGCGTGTGTGGGAGCGTGCGTGTGTGTGTGTGTGGGAGCGTGCGTGTGTGTGTGTGTGGGAGCGTGCGTGTGTGTGTGTGTGTGGGAGCGTGCGTGTGTGTGTGTGTGTGGGAGCGTGCGTGCGTGTGTGTGTGGGGGGGGAGCGTGCGTGCGTGTGTGTGTGGGGGGGGGGGCGTGCGTGCGTGTGTGTGTGTGGGAGCGTGCGTGTGTGTGTGTGTGGGAGCGTGCGTGTGTGTGGGGGGGGGGGAGCGTGCGTGTGTGTGTGTGGGGGGGGAGCGTGCGTGTGTGTGTGTGTGTGTGGGAGCGTGCGTGCGTGTGTGTGGGGGGGGGAGCGTGCGTGTGTGTGTGGGGGGGGGGGAGCGTGCGTGTGTGTGTGTGGGGGGGGGAGCGTGCGTGTGTGTGTGTGTGTTTGGGGGAAGAGGAGGGAGGAGAGTGATTGGTCAGGTAGGAGGTGAAGAGGAGGGATAATAGGGAGGAACGGAGAGACGGCGCGGGGCCCATTAAACTTGGCGAGGCAGAGGGGCGGGGGAACTAGTATAAGAGAGGGAGGACATGAGAGGGACAGAGAGAACATGAGAGAGAGTTGAGAGAGCGAGCAGAGAGAGAGACAGAGATATAAGAGATAGAGATAGACAGATAGAGAGAGGAGAGAGATAGGATAGAGGAGAGAGAGAGAGAAGAGAGAGAGAGAGGGAGAAGAGTGGAGAGGGATGAGAGGGAGAGACACAGAGAGAGAGAGAGAGAGAGATAGAGAAGAGAGAGATGATAGAGAGATAGAGATATATGTAGGCGACAATATAGAGAGAGAGAGAGGAGAGAGAAGAGAGAGAGAGAGATAGAGAGATAGTGAGGTACAGACAGAGAGAGAGATAAGAGGAGAGAGAGAGATAGATAGGAGA